AAAGAGAATAAGAAGAGAGAAGAGAAGGCTAAATTAGGCTAAAAAGGACTAGACTAGAAAGAACAAACCTAGACTAGATAACTTTATAAAAGCTTAAAATATTTAAAAAAAACTTTTAAGCACTATAAACTTTAGAAACTTAGCCTGTTTTTTACTATCCTTATTTTTAAATACTACTAGATTAGTCTAGATTACCCCTAGACTAGCCTAGATACCCCTAAAAAGAGGAACAGATGCACTATAAAGCCTAGACTTTACTAAAGAAACTTAAAAAAAAAGTAAGCTACTAAAGAGAATATAAAAAGAGTATAAAGTGCTATAACTATTCTTAAAGAAGCTACTACTATGTAAAAATAGACTAAACTGTCCTAGAGAAGAAGAGAATAGTAGGTAGAAACCTAAAAAAGGCAAAACCTATCCTAGAGAGCCTAGACAGGCCTAGAGACCCCTAGATCTGCTAGACTAATATAAAGAAAAAAAAATGCTAAAAAAACTAAAAATAAAGGCAGATAACCTGCCTTATCTTTAAAAAATGTTTTGCTTAGAGTTAAAAGTGTTAAAATTATAAGTAAAGTTAGTTTTCTACATGCTTTACTTACTTTTATAAAATTCTTTAGCAAGGAAGAGGACCTAAGCCTAAAGAACACTAAAATTAGCAGTAGAAGGCTAAGTACTCTAGATAGGGTTAGACTGCTCTAGAAAAGCCTAGATAGGTACAGGTTAGAGAACATATAGTGCAGACGTGCTTAGAGACTAGAGAAAGAGGTTCTAAGCTATTATTATTACTTATTTTTTTTTTACACTTTACTAATGCCTTTTTTTTTGCTTTACTAAGACTAATAATACCTAAGTCCCTAAACACCTTCTTGCTAACATAGAGAGGGGTTAGAGCGTTACTAGCTATCTTACTATAGATAAGCCTAGCAAGAATTAGTCTAAAAACCCCTAAAAAGCCCTAAAGACCCCTAGGGAAACCTAAGAGTGTTTAAAAAGTAGCTAGAGATTATAAACTTATTAAGATAAATAATAACTCTATTAACCTTTTTATAAAGACCTTTAATAATATTTAGCAGGTACTTTTAAGTGTTGCTAAGGTTAATTTAGGTCTTAAGCTAGAGAAAACTACTAAGGATAGTGCTTATAATAGTTATAATTACTAAGTAATAGTCCTCTAGGCACTATAACCTAAGAATTAGTAAAAAGAACTAAGAAGCACCTTAGGGACCCCTAAACAGCTATAAACAGCCCTAGAATAACCTACTTAATAGCAGTCTCTGCCACCCTTATAGCAGCTATTGCACTTTAAAAGGTTATTAGTGTGCTTAGGCTCTAACAAGCCTTAACAGATGTAGGTATTATAAGTCTAGACATTGCAATCCTTCTTAACAAGGAAACAGCATAGTAGAATTACACCTAGCTTATGCGCTATAATCCTGCCTATAATCTTATTAAGGTAAGTTAAGTAGGGATTAACAGTAGCTAAAGCTTTATTTATAGCTAAGGCAATCTTATCTAACTGCTTACTAGCTAGGAAAGACATTATTAGTAGTAGAATATGCAAGATAGGGCTTAGAGGGCCTAGGGGGGCCTAGATTAGGATAGACAGGACTAGAGGCCTTAAAAATAGGACAGGGGATAGCTAGCTAGGGTGGCTAGCTAAGGAAGAATTTAAAGGCAGTTAGAATAGAGACTCTTTAGGATAGACAGAGCTTTATATAGGGTCCTCTAGCCTAGGGGGGCCCTAGAACACCTTAGGAACCCCTAGAAAGGCCTAGGGGCTCCTGCAGAAAATCTCTTTAAAATACATACTAGAAGCGTAGAGTAAAGTGTAGGTGTAATAAAAGATTTAGCTTAGTAGAAAGTATTTAACCCCTTAGATTAAATTTAAAGTAACATAAAATTATGTAACTTCTAAACCTTAAAAAAGGGCTTAGATTTAGGCGTAAGGTTGCGCCTTAGAAAAAGATAGAGCTTTATAATAACTAGCTATCTAGGTGTTTTCTAGGCTATTGTAGACTAGCCTAGACTGCACTAGGCAGTCCTAGACAACTCCTAACCTGTGCTGTTAACCCTGCACTTCCTAGACAATGCCTACCTTGCCTAAAAAGCTAGGCATCCTAGACAGGTAATACTTTAAACTAGACCTACAGCATACTAGATCTGTTGCTACCAGCGCTGCCGTGCCTGGCTCTCTAGAGAAGTATATAGCCAGTTGTAGAAGCCCTCTTTAGATAGCAGAGGATTGCCTTAGGAATTAGGCGGGTACTAATTGTACTTCTATGTCACAGTTACGCCCTTGTTGGTCAATACACCTCTTAATTGCGAAGTGTATACCCTGTTTTTTACAATATATGTTATGTAGTAGCCTTATTAGCTGCTTAAAGCTTAGTAATTTTCTATTACACTAACACTAGCTTATGCATAATTATTGCTGCCCTCTTTAAGACCTTTTTAAACACTTTAACTATAAAAGTTAGTAAACTATTTATATGCTTTTAAATCTTTATCTTTATAAGCATTAATTATAACTTAAGTTTTAAAGTATTACTTAGAGTTTATAACTACTAAGGCTTATTATATATAGGTAGTAGTAGTAATAAAGTGCACAACTTTATATTAAGGCCTATTATAACTTATTATAGGTTAAAAGGAACTAATCTAGCGCCTTAGAACTCTTCTTAGATATTACTAAAAGTAATTATAGCATTATAAGCTACTTTAAAGCATAGTAAGAACTTTATTTTTATAATATAAATAATTTAGTTATATATAAAGTTTTTAGCTTAGCGCCTATACACTTTCTTTAAAGAAGTAAAATAACCTACATTAAGTAGCTATAAAAAGTGTAATAAGTAAAAAAGTATATAAATAGTAATAATTTTATTATTTTTATAGTATTACTAAAAATAAAGTAAGTTATAGCTCTTATAGCTATTAATAACTAGTAGATAGTAGCTACTAATAGTACACTTTTTTATATACACATTAAAGTGCTTTAACTAGTCTAGACTAAGCTAATTAGTAGTTTAGCTATACTTAGAGATTATAATAACTTAATCTTAAAGTAGATTTTCCTTCTTATACTAGTTTAAAAAGTAGTTACTACTTTAAAAAATAATAAAAGGTAAAATAGCCTACTTTTTAGCATTAATGCTCTAGATAGCTGTTGTCTACTTCTAGTTACCTAGCTAGACTGCTTTTAGCTGTTCTTATCTCTCTAAACTTATAATAACTGCTTTAGTAGATATTTAGCTTATTATAAACTTTATCTTATTAAAGTTATATATGTTATTATTCTAGATACTATACTTAGCTTTAATATTCTTTATAAAGTTAAACTAGCTTTAAATTACTATAAAAATTTTATAAAAAGCTTTTTTATAGTTATACTTACACTTAAACTTTACTTTAAGCTCTAGGTAACACTTAATAAATGTATTAAGCTAGTTTATGCTAATATAGCCTATATTATGCTTAGCGTGTAAAGAATTAGCTATATTAGCTACAGCTACTAGCTAGGGGGGAAATCCTTACACATCTAGCTTAAGTATGTGCTAAATAATTACTTACTTTTTATTATTATCTAGCTTTTATAAGTTAGCTATATAATTAGCTTAGAAAAGTTATCTAGTGTGTTAGTTACTTATTATTTTTTAAAAGACTCTATAAATAGCTGTAGCATGTTAGTTAAAAAGTGTTACATTTTATTTAAAAGCCTAAAGTGTAAGCTACATCTAACATTCCTTTAACATGTTTAAGTAGTGTTGTTAGAAATGCATTAGTGTAGGAAGAGTAGTATAGTAGGGTCTTAGCAAAAGTAAGCAACTTAGGTGTGTAAGCAACTTGCCTATAAAGTACGTTAGTTTTTCTACCTTTTTATTCTACTTATTTAGAAACCCTGTTTAGCCTTCTAAAGATTTTAAATAGGTTTTAGTTTATAGCTATAGTTAGCATAGAATAGTAAGTATTTTTATAGTACTAGACTTAGCTATATTAAAGGTAAACTATACTTATAGAAGCTATTCTACCTAGTTATTATAATTCTTATTAATGTACTTCTGTAACTACTGTTTTAGTATACTGTTTGTTTATTCTATCTATCTATCTATCTATAAATAAAATGTATTAACATTATACTCCTAATTCTTAATACCTATAGCATGTTAAGCATGTTATATAGTATGTTAATTACATACTATTATATAAAAGATATTAAATACTATAGTAGCAAATTTTATACTCTAACTCTACTTTAATGTAATACTAAAAATAGCAATGTATAGATCTTCTTCTAGATAGGTTGTTTATACGCTATGTTGTAAAGAGATTATGTATTGTTTGCTGTATAGTGTGACGGTGCTGCTTTTTAAGCTACACTGCTAGTCACATGATCGCATTAAGAGCCAAGCGAGCGTGCTAGCGCCTTGGCGCTGCGCAAGCTTTTCTCTCGCGAAAGCCTTCACCTCCTTCTCTCCCCATCCTAGTATAGGTGAAATAGAGCCGACCTACTCTACCTCGCTTCACTAGCTCTGTACGGTAGTAGAGACAGTGCTTGTCATCACACGCAGGCGTTTTAGTGGGGTGGTCTGCTTGCTTATGAAACCCGTTAGTCTAAATTAGTTAATCTTAAATAAATAGAAGGTACTTAGCCAGTACATTTCTTTAGAGTATTATTATTTTATAACATAGAGTAGATAATATAGCACCTACTGGCGAATATAATATCTTTATGATAGTCAACATTGCGCAATTTATAATGCCGAATCATGTACTTAGAATATCAAGAGATTGCGGGGGAGCAAGGTCTCTGGAGGAAACTATTAAAATAAGAAGTTAGCTAAACAGGCTAAAACAAGGGGAGCTAGAGTAGAATTTACAGGCCCCACCTGTTTCCACTTTGCCTCATACAAAATGCACCGATAACCTCAATGCCACAATGACTTAGCTTAAGAGCGAAGAAACACTTGAACTTCTAAACACTGTGATTTAGAAAAGAAGATATGATCTATTCAGTTTTATTGGTTTGCGTGGGTCTTGCCTCCCAAGCCTCAGCGATATGCAGTCGAACAATGCTCCAGGAGGCCACAGAGGCATACATTCGAGCACAAGCCGCCGGGCAGACGAATATGCTCCCTTTGGCCGAAAACGTCAGCTATGCGGAGAATGATACACCCATGGATATCAAGAAGGGTGTTCTTACCCAGCCTATCACAATCGACTTCAACCGCAGTCTGTACGACACTACTCTGTGTGCTACTTTCACGGAACTCTCAGCGGCCACGAACAAAAACCCATATGTCATCAACACGCGGATGCTCTTCACCGACGATAGGATCACGACCATCCAATCTGTGGTGGCAGACAGCGGCGACTGGGCGTTCGATGCGAAGGGCCAACTTTCCTGGACAAAGAAAGAGAAATGGGATCCCATCCCAGAGAGCAAGCGGGACAGCCGCACCGTTATCAAGGCCGCCGGCGACGCTTACCTCGACAGCTGGGGCGACAGCAACGTCAAGGTCCCATATGGCACACCATGTGCCCGGCTCGAAGGCGGCATGTACACGGGCGACAAAAGTCCGACAACCAACACCTGTAAAATGCCTCAGTTCCCGCAACCGTTTAAGATCACCAACCGCCGCTACGTCATTGACGAGGAGATGGGTGGCGTGGATATCTTTAATGACTTTCCGTTCATTGATAAAACCAAACCAAATGGCACTGCTAGCACCAACTTCATAAGGGTCGAGGGAGGGTTGATTCGTTATATTCATGAAACTACTGTGTGTGCAACCAAAAATTGCGGAAGATAGTGGCGAGCTTGTCACGGGGAAGTAATACTTTAAGGATGCAGTAGAAATTGTTCGTTAAGGAACTTCAATCATATGGTGTTGCCTGCTGATTGTTCACTGAATACCAATTATGCTGTCTCTAATAATATCCAACTTCTTCTTCTCAGCATTTTAAACGTGGGTTATGCTCTACCGTAACTGTCTTACAAAAGCTATTGTCCCTCTTTTGCTTACATATTAATTTGAGACTTTCTATGGGACTGTTAGGCAGCATCACCTGAACTTCAAGCACCCTCTCCTTCTCTAGTACGGTTGATAGCTGACACTCAAGTTTCTCTGGCATCCTGGTGAGTAAAAAGTTGTCGACCATGCAAGGTTCCCCATAGAAGTCAACCTCTAATACCTCTAATACCTCCCTGGAAACACATGAAGCCAGCGCTGAATCCCACATCCTTGTGGGGAATGGAGTTGAGCAATTCTATAGCCTGGAACTTGACACTGCGACCTCGGCACCTCAGAGCCGTATAGTAAGGGCGGAATTGAACCTAGATCTGCAATTGACTTGGACATTCCCATGCTATAAGTCGGAGACAGCTCGAAAACGGGGCGTTCTAGAACACCTTTCCAGAGCTGTAAGGAATGAGCTGTGATAGAGGCGAAGGGGTAGGTATAGCAGCCGAAGATCAATTTGCATATAGTCTCAGCCATGACGTATGTTATTGTATGGTTGGCACACAGGAGCTAGCAGGCGAAGACGCCCCGAGGAGTGATTGGAGTAGCTGGGCAGTTGGTTAGCCTGGCGCCAAGATGCAAGATCAATTTGAATGCCATGCTGCTTGTCTTACGATCTGCTAGAAAGTGTACCGCCTCGGGGGACACATTCGAAACGGCATAAGACCACCAGCTAGATGGTTGTATCCAGCAAACTGTCTAAATCTTGCCCCGCTTGATTAAGTGAGGTAAACGCAGGTATTGGGAGCTCGCTTCTAGGTGCATGTAAAGCAAATGTAGGATGCTGAATTATGTGCCCGAAGAGCTTCATCTGGATATATAACCTAAAGCAGGCTTCAACGATCAGGTCGTCGTTGGACTCGGGAGAGCGTATTAACGTGAGAGCTCCGTCGTCGCCGACGGTGCTTGACTGGGGTTGAGTGGCTGTAAACAAAATGAATCCCGTTCGGAAATAAGTGTGCCCTGTTTCGTAGTGTCAACGAACGAATTCAAGGTATACGGATACTACGCAGGTGATGAGCGTTATGCGCAGGAGTGTTCAGTTCTCCACCAGCAAGTGGTGTCGAAGGTACTCGATTGTTTTATTGTACTGCCGAAACGTGAATTGCTCCCGTTCATCAAGCAAGGGCTCATTTCTTCTGGAACCAAATGGCAGTCCCTTTTGTAGGCGTCGGTCAACGCTGGAATGGCGTAGGAGACTGCCAGTCCGCTTGCACCCCTTAGGCCGCCAATGTCCCCCAGAAGGTAGAATAGAAATAGCCGGGGGATTGCGTATCGATTCGGTACCTGGACCATTCGAGGTTTACCTTTTCTTCGATGTCTACGACGGGCAGAGGTGCATGTGCAATGAATCGTTAATGACAACCTTTCTCGACTCCGCCTCACGACTTCACATTCTCATGCTCAACGCAGGCATCATGGGTGATCCCAACGCAGTCACCAAGGAAGGGTATGAGCTAGGGTTCGGGGCGAACCACATGGGCCACGCCTTGCTGGCAAGACCGGTGATGCCCCCCCTCAAGTCTGCTCCACACTCTTCGGCCTCGAACGTGCGTATCATTAGTTTATAAGCTCTGAAGTCTAAGGCTAATAGCATGGCACCAATTATCAGGTATTGCTATGGCAAGTTAGTCAACATTCTTTACGCTCGGGAGGTAGCATAGTAGTACCCCCAGCTCACTACATTGGCAATTGACCCAGGGAGCGTCAAGGCCGATCTTTTCCAGCCCAATGGTGTTAGGCTGTTCATTCCATTTTTGTAGGTGGCTGTGGTTCTGCTCGTGAGTATGGCGGTAGAAGAAGGAGCAAAGAGCTATCTCTGGGCAAGTACAGCTAATGGCATGGTGAGTGGAGAGTACTATGACCCCATTGAGTTGACGGGTAACACCAGTGCTCTATCGGAGGACAAAGGTTTTGCAAAGAAGCTTTGGGCTTGGACGGAAAAGGAGCTAGTGACATATGTGGAACATGATTAGAAGAGATTTCATCTGCTGTACCCCTTACTAGAGCTATCTAAACTGTTCAGACGATATCGGTTTGTGTGTTAATCACATGTGCTATTATAAAGTGCCCGTGTGCGGTAAAGTACAGGCTTAGGCGTCCCAAGGGCACCTCTTCAGTCAGAGTAGATCTGAAGTAACACTGCACCATCATCCAACTAAGTTATCTATGTTAGTTTGCTAAGCCTTCATTTCGATATTTTCACATTTGATACCACTTATTAGAAGTAGACCCTGTAGTCTTTAGTTAGTAAGTAAGCTTTAGGTTATAGTTAGCTATAGTTATAGCTAAGTACATTTAGTATAAAGTAAACTTTTACTTAGTTAAGAAGTACTCTAACGCTTAGTAGTATATTTAAGCGCTAAATAGTTTAGTTATTTATAAACTTAAAGGTTAAGATTACAATGCTAAGACATTAGTCTGTTTACACCTGAGTGCCGGCGCACCAACCACTAAACTTCACACTCTTTAAACCTCAACCATCAACTATGCAACGCGAATTTAGCAGGGAAATTAGTAGCAATTAAGGCAGGAATAACAAATTAAGCAAATTACAAAGAGCTAGAATTTTATCTGCTGTTAACGTAGGTAAATTAAAAGCCTCTATTACGTTGTAAATTTAATGTACGCGTTAGACAGTTTACAACATAATTAATTAATAAAGCAACTACTAAACAATTAAATCTTTACTATGTTCTAGCTAGCCTAAAAAGTTTACTTGCTGCTAAGAAAGAATGCTTATTTAAATTCCTTACTAGCACCTACAAATTAAGTATGCGCAGCTAAAGGCTAAGGTAGTAGAGGTGCGCGTTAGTTAGAGGACTCTCTATTGCCTACTTAAGAAGTATTATATTACAAACTAGATTAAAAAGAAGCAGCTAAATCTTACTCCTGCGCATGCTAGAACAAGACTTAGATAGGTAAGAGAGAGGAGAAATTTTAATTTTAAAACAGTAAACTATTCTAATAAGGTGTTAGCAAAGAGAGGAATAGGTTATAAACAAGTATAGGTCTTCTACACGCTAACACAGAAGTAGGATTATAAGATGATTAAAGAAGCAGATATAAGCAAAGGCATAGTGCAAATGTTCTAGGGCTGCTTCTAGTATCACAGCCAATCTAAACTTGTTAGAATAGAGAGAGATCTACAAGCTGCATATAATAGTTATAGCGCTTACTTGTATATCTAGGCTTTAGAAGAAGGCCTTCTGCCTATCTTAGCTAAAGACACCCTCTATTAGATAGACAACACGCTAATACACACCGCCTACAAGACTACTGTTACGACCTACGATTAGGCCGTAAGCTATCACCCGAAACTGCCCCACTGTTTAGACGAACAAGGATGGACTCCCTAGGTCACTCCACCACAAAACGCATCACGTGACCCAACAGACGACGAATGGACAGAACTAACGGACGGACTAGTGGACGGATGTTCGGTCTAATAAGAAGTTGGCAGTTGAGCGCGATGAGCGTCAATAAGCGCGGTTGCGCGCCGCGAGCAACCATGCTCACCTGCGATCACCTACAATCAACCCCAGGACATCATGTATATAGTTAAGACAGTAGACTACAATAAGAGGGTGTAATTAACAGTTTAGTTTATAGTTACTATAGACTAAGTAGCATTGCTACTTTACAACAAGCGCAATACTATTTGTATATCTTGTACTATATATACCTCCTCTCCTGACTCTAGACTGTTTAACCCAGCACCTCATACTGCTGTTATAAGGGCAAACCACAGTCGGCCGCTACCTCCTTCCCTTAAGCTAAGTTCGCACGGACTGTACACCCGCTGCCAATCCCGCTTCTTACCCCCGAATCCCCTCATTACTTAGGCCTAGTGTACTGTTGGGATAACCCGACAGTAAGGATTGTAACAACTACTCTGTAGCTAAATGCTATAGACATTAAGGTGCTTTAGTAGCCGCTCTACTTGCTAGACCTTAATCTAATTAAACACCTTTAGTAGGCACTTAAGAAGAAGATCTGTGAATTGCACCCTAAGTTAGAGAGCTAGGAACTAGAGGAGGTTAATGGAGAGGCTTTTATTAAGGCTGCTAAGAAAGCTTAGCGAACCTTACTCTAAGATCTTATAAAGACGCTAATTAATTTAATGTTGAAAAGAATTAAAGCAGTTGTAAAAGTACTAGTATAGACTAGCAATTAAGCTTGCAAACCTACTTTTAAAAAGTTAACTTTTCAAGTGTTAACAGACTAATATTCTATAGAGTACTATACTACTTATATAAGTTTTATACTACTATTAGCATTTTTAAGTATAGATATTATAGTTTATTTAAAGCACGCCTATAGGTTTTAAATAGAATACTACTAGTTTTAAAGGCTGCTATTCTATAGCTAGAAAAGTACAACTACTATAACTCTATTACTAGAGTCTGTTGTTATACATATCTTATAGTAGAGTAAGTAGAGTATAAAAATAGTATCTAATTGTATTATATTTTTAGCCTAATTAAAAGCTACAAGCATATATTTACTAAAGTATTACTATAATAACAAGTAATATCTCTACTACTATATAAAGCTAGTAAAGTAAAGTAGAGTAGGCTAGCTTTGTTTTAGCTATACTAGAATAAAAAAAGCTATTATAAAAAAAGCTTACACTATGCTTAAGCGCTAGTACACTTACTTAGCTTTTACAATTATATAACTAGTTGTAAAGATTAATAAATAGTATTATTATAGTTATTAACTTTTTTAAAAGCAGGATTGTTTTTAAGTCTATAGTATATAATATAATAATATAATATAATAGTGTTTTTATAGGCTTTATAAATAGCTTTGCTAGTATATTTTTTTAAACTATTATTTTTCTTTATTACTTTTAACCTTTTTTAACATATACTATAGGCAAGTTGCTTACTTTACTAAGACTATACCAGGGTTGCCGTTTACTATAGTAATTACTATAGTAATTACTATGCAACCTTTTAGCTCTAGTAATAGTAATTACTATTACTAGGTAGGTATAGTAATAGTAATTACTATTACTAGGTGTGTATAGTAATAGTAATTACTATTACTATAGTAATTACTATAGTAATCTAGTAATTACTATTTACTAAAAATAGTATAAAAGTATAACATAAGTCTTAATAGCTATATTTAAAATTTATAGCACTTTTAACTTTATTTTTCTTATTTTACTTAGACTACTATATTTAGATAAACTTAGTAAACTAAGTAAAATAATTTAACTAAATAAACTAATCTAACTAAATAATTTAAATAATCTAAATAAAGAAAATAACTTAAGTAAACTAAGTAACTTAAATAAACTAAGTAACTTAAATAACTTAAATAAACTAAATAATTTAAATAAACTAAATAACTTAAATATAAAAAATAACTAAAGTAAAAGAAATAACTAAAATAAAGAAAATAACTAAATAAATTATATAACTAAAATAAACTAAATAAATAAAATAAACTAAATAGTTTTTATTTATAGCTTTACTATATATAACTACAAGTAGTACTATTATCACTAGAGACGCTAGTAGTACTTTTATTTTCTAACTCTTTTAACTCTTCTTTATCTTCTAGATTTATTATTTGTTTTTGTTTTTCTTTAGAACTACTAGGTAAAGTATAATTATAAAAAAGTTGCTTTTTACTATAAGAATAGAAATAGCAATTATAAAAATATCTACTTACTAAATATAGTATAAAATATATATCTTTTTAACATTAATTTTTTCACTAAAACTAAAATTATAATATAATATAAATAAAGTTAGTAATATTAATAAGTAGAATAACTTTAGTAAAGTAAATATATATGTTAAGTAGTATTATATAGCGTTATTATATATTATTATTATATATATTATAGTTGTTTAAATTATAGTAATTACTTGTTAATTTTTTTTAGCTTATATAGGTTTTTTTTAATAAAAAAGCTTTATATATTACTAGAGACATAAGAATTATTATATACTATTATAATAATTATTACTTTTACTACTTAAAATCTTTTTCTATAAAATATCTATTTATAGAAATAGTAATTACTTAGTAATTACTATAGTAATTACTATAGCAATTACTAGGCGCTTCTAGTAATAGTAATTACTATTACTAGGTGCTTATAGTAATAGTAATTACTAGCACTTAGTGATTACTAAGTAATTACTATTACTAAAAAGTGGCAACCCTAGACTATACTAAACTACTTTTTCTATACTAATGCATTTCTAACAACACTACTTAGACATACTAAAAAAAATTAGATATAGCTTACACTTTAGGCTTTTAAATAAAATGTAACACTTTTAAAGCAACATGCTACAGCTATGTATAAAGTTTTTAAAAAAAAATAACTAACACACTTAATAACTTTTATAACTAATTTTATAGCTAACTTATAAAAGCTAGATAATAATAAAAAGTAGGTAATTATTAAGTATATACTTAAGCTAGATATATAAGAAATTTTCTTTTAGCTAATAGCTATAAAATTAGTTTATAAAAGTTATTTAGTATGTTAGTTATTTATTATTTTTTAAAAAACTTTATACATAGCTATAGCATGTTGTTTTAAAAGTGTTACATTTTATTTAAAAGCCTAAAGTGTAAGCTATATCTAATATTTTTTAAGTATGTCTAAGTAGTGTTAGGAATGCATTAGTGTAGAAAAAGTAGTTTAGTAGAGTCTTAGCAAAAGTAAGTAACTTAGGTGTGTAAGCAACTTACCTATAGTGTATGTTATTACTTTTATTTTATAAAGAAGTATTTTATTACATGCTATGTTTTTTATAGTAATTACTTAATTAAAGTAATAAAATTTATATTTTATAAATATTTAAAGCTTTATAGCCTATAAGATATCTAATATAGCCTTATAAAGTTATTTAAAAGCTACGCTTCTAACGCCTAGCTGCTTACTCTCTGTTAAGTAGGTAGCTGTAATAGCTGTATACCTGTATCCTACTCTAATTAGACTTTAGATTAGCTATAGCACTTCTTACCTACTCTAGCTTATAGTATTTAAAGTATTTAGTAGACTACACGTTTAAGACTTTATTTAGTAAGTGTAAGTTATAAGTATGTAATAGGCTTATATTATACAGCTATGTTACTGCGTCTACTACTTCTAGCTAGAGCTTCTTAGAGAGTTCTATCCTACTTTTTATTTTAATAGACTTTATAATTATTTCTTACTTAGCTTATTTTATAGCCTTATTTAGCTTATAAGTATATTGTAACAAGGTAGGCACAGTTAACCACGTGGCCTTCTCTTGCTTATAGAGGTTTAGGCTAGACTAGAGACAACCGCTAGTGCTAGTGCTATCCCTAGCATTATATATATATATATATATATATATATATATTATACTATGCGAGAATACTTAGCTTAAGTATTCTCGTGCGTACATTTTAGTACAGTAGGGAAAGTTGTATAGTATTAGCTTAGCAGGCAGAGCGCCTACCTTGTTATATATATAGTAAAAAGCTTTTAATATTAACACTAAAGTCTTTTACTTAAAGCTTATACCTTAAGTTTCTATACTAAAAGAGTGTAGCAGTGTTATTATTTTACTATATTTTACTAATCTAGAGCTTATATTAACTAGACACTATACTTTTAAAGCTCTTTATTACTTTTTAAAATTTTAATAGTGTTTCTACTTAAAAAAAGTATAAAAAGATTTTACTACTATAATTTCTTTTTATAATTTTTTTATAAGGCTTTGCTACGTTCTAATAGTATATTAAACATGTTCTACATAGCTTTTAAAATAAGTAGAGAGCTTACTTCTATAGTCTTCTTAATATAACCTACTTAGCGTAGGTTATTATATAGTGCTTACAGTGTACTTGCTTTATACCTGTTATAGATATGTTTTTTACACTTTTAATAAGAGCCTATAGAGCTTTTAAGTCTAGGTGTCTTACACATGTATGCTAAAGCTGTAAAGAAGTATATATACTTCTTATAGAATAATATATAGCTTTTTCTAAATAGGCTTAGCGCTAAATTGCTTACTAAGCAAAGTCTATTTATAAAGCGTGTTACTAATATTTTAATTAGTAATACTAGAATGTTCTAGAATGTTCTTTTCTATTTATAATATCCTTCTATAGATTTGTAATAGAAGATTCTATAAGATTCTTTGTCTTTTTATTTAGTAATAACTTATAACAAATAGATTACTATTATTAAAAATACTATATTAGTAACTAGAATCCTATAGAAGCTTCTACATTACTAAGCAAAGAAACAAAATGTATATAAAGAAAGCAAATCTCTACTCTAGATAGTTTCTCTTCTTACCTAGAAAATCTTATTATAAAGAATACTATTAAGGTGTACTTATATGTAGTGTATAGTTAAGTTTTAAATACTATAGTCTTTTTTCTTTTAAATAAGCTTTTAAGATAATATTAATGTAAAATTCTTTTACTATAACTACTTTTTATAATGTAAGATCTTTTATGCGCTCTTTTTATACTTTATTTAACACTTCTATAAGCTTTCTAGTTTCTATTCCCTAGATATGTAACAGCACAGGCAAGACAATGGGTCTGAATGCGGTGGGAGTCCACTCAGAGGCATATGGGAGTGCGTAGGGACTCTGAACCTAGGAATGCTATTAACACCTATAAGCCTTATACAAAAGAATATTAGAAAACTACTCAGCTAGCTACAGAAGCAAGGTGCAACTAAATATAAAAAAAATAAAGGTAACAGCAAGAGGTAGAGCAGAGTTAGGGCTAGGTTAAGTTAAGGTTAAGCTAGGGTTAGAGCTAATACAGGGACCCTTTAGATAGGTTCTAGGCAACCTAAAATAGAATAAGAATTATTACACTA